CAAAGGTATTTTCGCGTGTGCACTTATTGAAAAATCGCTTCAACACACAAACGTAGTTAACTAACTACTTTTCATTACAAAAAAGAAACAGAAGACGCAAATATTTCCCCAGCAAGAAAATGCTTATGCCGCCAGAACGTATTCTGAATTGCGCTTTCCACCGTTCAAATATTAATTTTCCGGAAAATCGACTTCGGGTACGTCTGCAGTTTGGTAACGCTAATATTAGTAGTCACTTTAGGAACGCTCTGTCAATAAGAAAGCCTCCAGTCCCCCGAGTGCTAGAATACTTATTGGGGCTTGTCGCGGATGACCAGTAATCTGGACCAAAAACCTTGACACTGATCTACAGCGTCATCGGCGTTGGTGTCAGTAATCACTCAGTCGGCTGCAACTATTTCGCTTATCTGTTTTCGCCGAAGCGACAACCACGCCCGCCGCTTTTTGACGCATCGGTAGGGTTCCGTGCGTTCGGAGCTTATTTTTTGCCAAATTCGGAGGTTGTTTTTTGGAGTTTATTTTTTGCCGAAGATTCGGAGTTTATATTTGTTCGATTCCGAATTCTTCGAAATTCGGAGTTTAATTCCGCAGTGTTTCCTATCCAAAATAAATATATAAATATTAACAGGATTTAAACGTATGCCAGATAAAAAATAAAACGCGTTGTATCAACCTCGATGTCTTAAAATCGATAAACTCCCGGAAGTAGTCGCTAGGAAGCTCGCAGTCATCCCATCCTATTCCATCAATCTGGCCCGCGGCAGCGCGAGGTGGAGTGGGTAAGAATGCAGTATGGTCCTAAGCTTTCAGCGCTAGAAAAACATACCCTCTCCTTTCTCTAAATAGCAAATCGCATGGCCCAAAAAAAGTGGCCTTTGTCGTGACCCGAATGCCCTGGATCAACTTTGATAAGACAGGCGGTAAGACCACTTTTGACAACATTCCGAGATTTGAAGGACATTATGGTGGCATTTTCCCAGGACCATTGACACTGCCCTGCTCAAATTGTAAAAAAGCAGCGTATTTTCCTTCTTTCTTTTTTTTTTTTTTTTTTGGGGGGGGGGGGGAGAGAGAAAGAGTGACATTGGCACATAACAATTCGGAGTCGATCGGTTAAATCCGAATTGACAAAATTTTACCGACGGGTGTTTTTTCAGATTTATCCGAAAACACGGAACCCTACGCATCGGTCAAGGTGAAAACAGTAGGTCAAAGACTTATCCCACATTACAAAACACACACAAAAAAATATAAGAAAACGTTTAGAGGATGCACATGGCATCATCCTACATTTTCGAACAATACTTAATATAGGCCTGTCGCGCTACGGATGAGATTAAAAAAAAAATGTGCGCACAACTTTTAATAAGGCCTCTAGAATAGGGCGTTTTCACCGACTTCATTTCGTCCACCATTTTGTTCTTATGAGCAGTCCGGTGCGTGCAGAAGGCAAGCACTCGTAGATTCACTTCGCTTTCAAATTGGTAGTGCACAAAAGCTTACAAGTTTCATTACGTTGACATCTAACAAGAAAATTGCGGATTGACGTCATCTGAAAACAACCTATAGAACTTTGAGAATTTCCAATGGGATGGATTCGGAGCAATTCAAATGTGGCCTACACATGCGCCTTTAGAGCGACAAGGGCTAGCTCGCGTATGTATCCGGTAATACATGGCAACCAAAAAAGCACCCCAAAATCAATTTAAATCCACCTATTTCCAAGTTTAGCTACTTTCATATGTGCGAAAAGCTGATAATGGAATATGATGAGGCAGAATAGCAAAGCTGATGTTTTAATTCTATAGTTAATAAGATGAAGTCTTACGAATGCCTCGTAATTTCATAAGGAGGAGCAAAGCTTTTTTTTTTTTATAATTATTATTTTCTCCCGTGATTTTAAGTGCCACCAGTGAATATCTCATCAAATCCTCTTTCTTGGGAGAGGTCGCATGCAGAGAATATGGTTTTACGTAACACTGGCTCCCAATGCTCATACTCGGATAAGAGATGCGTCCAATTTCTTTTTCCTTCGTCCACATGCGCGATCTCTGTGTCCTTGAAAATATTCGTAACAACTTCCGTGGCCTTTCATCATTACTAATACGCCCCGTTTTGAGGGCCCGGACATTTCAGCCGCCAAGTTGAGCAGTATGAACTTTTGAACTAGGTAACAGCTTTCCCTTGGCACCGGAAGAATAACAGTGTTATAAGAATCATATTTTATAAACTGTCACTTCGTAAAAAATGGAGTACTAATACCAAGACACTTCGTTTTCTCCGCTAGGTCTTCCATTTTTATTCTTTTATATATAGTAACGGTGTATCCTCGGCCTTGAAGAAACATATATCTCGTAAAGCATGAAGCCGTCCTTGAGGCAATTACCTGTGTCCATTTTGCACGAAACATTAAAAAAGGCACGTCTGCTCTCTCTGTTCATTTTTATAGTAATCGAAAATGCCATGGACCTGCCCGCATTTCAACTGATGCTCCTGGAAAGGAGGGTTCCCTACCGAAAAATCCGGTATAACTTTCCCTATCCGGAATATGGAACCGGAAATTTGTTACTGGAAACCCGAAATCCAGATTGAGAACAAAGGAATAATTTCTGAAAACCTAAATTCCAGATAGAGTCCAGATAGAATCCAGATAGATTTCCGGTTCCATAATCCGGATAGCGAAAAGTTATACCGGATTTTTCGGTAGGGTTATTCTCCGAGGATATAAAGAAAACACAAGTAAACAGGTAAATAGAAAACAATAATGCACAGCGAGGAATATCTATACCGGAGGTACCTGTCATGCGTGGAAAAAGGGAAATTAGGAGGGAACAAAGCCTGTGGTAGAGAACAGCCGGCTATCTTACCTGAAAACAGTAAGTCGCGTACCGTGTCAAGTTTTGTTACGTCCTATAATTCACTAACAAAAACTTCAACTGAAAAGATGCCAAGGTAGTAATCCTATTTCTGGTGATTTAACAGCAGTTTAAAAAAAGCTCAGAAGATCGAGTACGATATTTATAAAACACTAATGCTCGTGAAGCGAAATTCAATAAAACGGCGTCAAGCGTTTCGATGAAACGTCGGGTACCCTTTATGTTCTGCTTCCCTGGCAAATCGCACGCCGAATGCGGTCAAAAACAGACGGAATACAATTAGACCCTTAAAATTCTGCTAATTTGGGGGAAACTTGTGTGGCATGAAGATGCACGTTCGATTGCCCGCCCCATTAGGCGCGCTTATTCGTGTACGCGAATTTGGGGGGCGTACAAACGAGGAAACGTAACGATTAGCGATATCGCAAAAAATAATCAATGAACAAAGTCCGCCTCGGTCGCTTCCTCTAGAAAACTAGCAACGCTTCCCTATGGGTACCCAGTTACTTGTTCAGTTAGAAACGTGCGGGACGTGCTTAATGTTTACGATAAAAAAAAAAAAAAAAGCAACGACCTTCTTCGGCGAACAGAAAAATGCTATCATAGGCGTGACAGTCCTTTACATTGTGTGAAGACTTCTGTTGGTTTCCAGTGACGAGTTTTATCAGGATTTCGAAGTGCAGAAAGAGTGCTGGTAATGTGTTTTTACATGTTTTTTTTCTTTTACTGCGAGAACCTTCAACACTGCCATAACTTACCAAAACAAGCTGCAACTTCAATAACGCCATGCCTTGTTTCAGCTTACGTTTGGCACATTGCGTGTTAATATTCTTGCGGCTAGGCGTTCCAGAAAGTTGCAGTTCAAACCGGGTAAACAATATATAGAACAAAAGGTCAGTCTGACATATAAACTTTTCTTCAACGCATGAAATCAGTGATGTTGAGAGTGCCGTCAGATATGAAACAGGCTATTATAAGCAGGTTTGGTTACAACCACCTCCGCTGCACCTGAGCAAAAACTCTCGGCTGGGCTTGTGAAAAAAAAAAAAGGTCGAGTCAATTAGGTTACCAGTTGGTCAGCGGGTTTAGACTGCCGTCCGGTAGGTGGAAAGCTTCGCGAGCAATTCGCGCCATTTATATTTGAAGATATCATATTAACTCAGGGTTGTTTTTAATAACTAAAAACCAAATCTACCGCACATTAATATTTGCAAGCAATGCAGTGCCTTGTGTCACCGCTAATATGCCTATGACATAGCCCTTAACGCCAAGACGGGCACCACCATTATATTTTGCTTATCATCGCACTCTTGCCTGTACGTGGCATCTTGTGGTTTGATGCACTTCGAATAATGCATAGAAAGGGCAAGCCGAGATCACGTGCGCCTATGTTCTCAACCATCGTACCGGCGTGCGGTCTTGTATCACTACTGCGTGGTGCAAGTAAAAGACTCCAGGCTAGCGGTTGTACTGCACTGGATAAATATCTCATCTACAGCTGAGGGAAAAGTCGCCCGTCGTGTTAGACAAACTTCAGGCTGTACAGACATACACACAAACACAATTTTCTTGATGAATCCTGCAACTAGTTCAACAATTTTGGCATTCCTGTAAGGTTCAACTATGTTGCCCTCAGCTATTAACCTCATGCACCAAAACTTTAGCAACGTTAAAGTCACCCGCGCGACAATAAATGCCCGTAAAATAAAGGTATGTTGCAGGAAACTTTAAAACGAACAAGTAATATTTAACAAAAACGTTGTTCGTATGAGTGAGTAAGTTAGAACCTATATGGTCTCAAAGTGTTTGTGTGCTCTCCTTCTGAACTTTCCAGAATGTAGAATTTTCCACAAGGCAGGCGAGCTGGTGAATGGCATCCATAGTTACCCTCAGACGTAGGAACAATAAAGAAACGGACAGAACAAACAACGAAGCCTCAACAAGACTTTGTTCTGTCAGTGTTTTTTCTTTTTTTTTGTTTCTTTTTTTATTATGAATATCATTTTTACGTCTCAGGGTTTCTATGGATGTTTCCACAATGCCGCGTTACGTTTTTTAGCATAATAGTGAAAATCAAAATTTCTCGCAAAAGTGAAAAAAACAAAAACGAAGCTTCACCGTTACCTGAGCTCTATCCTGCTGCCGTCCGGTGTCCGTTGCGGCTGAGAGCGGTGACGACGATGACTCGGCGACTTGTTGAGCGGCGGCCAGCGCCGCCGTGACCAAGAACCCCAGCAGACACGTTCGCATCCCGGGACCGTCGAACCGTCGACTGGGCTCCCAAAATCGAGGTCGCCCTTCTTCAGCACGGGGGGGTACGTCTCGAAGGGCGGAGGGGGGGAGAGTGCACCGCCCGGAGAAGACAAGGAGGAAGTGCTGCCCTCCCCGCAAACGCCCTCACCCGAACGAAAAAAAAACTGAACTCGACTGCCGAGATCTACACTCCGTTCCACCTTACGATGGAGCGCGGGGGACGCTAAGAGTCCTCTAAGCCAATCGGCTGCAGTGGGAGTACCACGTGACCTTCAGGAGGGCAAAGCGACACGCGGGACACGTATCTACGTGATATATCCGCAGCGCTCGATTGGACGAGATGGCCCATAGCGTTCGCTTCGGTCCATCATGAGATGAAATAGAGTGTAGACCATAATAAAAAAAAAAATCTTTTTTTTTTTTCTTATGAGACGTCTGCACCGGCGCGTCTGCTTTCTTGCCCCCCTGCTACTTTCTTGATGCTGTAGAGTCCCACATCAAGAAAGTGGCAGGGCAAACAAACAAAGACGCGCTCCCCTCCCCTTCCCCCCGTTGTGTTCATGTTGTGTCGTCGGTTGTTCTCGAACTGGACGGGGCTAGGTTTTTCTTTTGTCTTCGGGGCGAATAGAGATAAGCGTACCCTTCCTCCGGGGTGAATGCGTCCGAAAAAAAAAAAAAGAAAGCTAAGTAGGTGAAGGTTGCTGCGGCCAAATGAAAGCAACGGATGTAAAAAGTGAAGCACTAGCTGATGACTGCTGCGATCACATTGCTGATTGCAAATACATCATACAGACAACGTTCTGCAGACACTGACCGAGGGACGTGTTTTTTTTTTTTTTTTTTTTGCTGATGTGGCGACACTGCCGCATTGGTCATATAAAAAAACTCTCTGCAAACAAACTTAAAACATACACAGGCATTAAAAAACATGCTTTGAGTCATTTTGTTCTTAGCCCGAGACTGAGGCAGGAAAAGAGGAAAGTTTCAAAGTAGAAGAAAAATGAACAGTCGAGGACAGGTCTCTAACACAGCTAAAGACAAGTTTATTTGGTTCACCCTCTTATATACACTCCACGAACTTCACCACAGAACCTTCTCGACCTCCAAAGCGATGCTTTGAGCAGATAACGCTTCTGTCATCATGATTGCAGCGGGCGCCGTGTCTCCTGTGCCATGCCTACGCGTGGTGATCTGGACGTTTTGGTGTAGGACGTTTCGGTGTAGGGCGTTTCGGTGCGGTCTTTTCAGTGCACGGTCATTCAAAATCTCGTGTTTTTTTTTTTCTAAAGTAATTAGCATTATTTTAGCCAGAAATTATTTTTTCACACTTTATAAATTTGTAGACTTTGTCACCCATTTACGGCCACTTAAATCATATACGACCTAAGTGACTTTTTTAGGCGCAGCACTATTCTGTGAGAGGACTGCATACGTCGGGGGCGTTATGTTTCGTTTTGCTGGTGCCTCTTTTCCAATGTACACACTAGACGCATCACATCATGTTTACGCGTTGGGTCGACACAGACATTCTGGGCGCCTTCAGTAAAAATGTGGGCATTATTATTGGTAATCTATGTAGGGAAGGCCCCAACAGCAAACTTGAGATTGTTGAAAATTACCCGAGACATGTGATGCGACTAGTGCGTACGTTGGAAAAGAGACACCGACAAAACGAAGCATAACCTCCAACGTCTCCAATCCTCAGGCAGGCTGGTGCTGCGCCTAACAAAGTCACTTAGGTGGTATATTAGTAGGGCTTCGTGTTTTCGGATAAATCCGAAAAACTCCGAATAACATCCGCCGATAACAGTTTTGTCAATTCGGATTTATCCGATAAACTTCGAACTGTTATGTGCCCATGCCACCGCCCCCCCCCCCCCCGCCCCCCCTCCCAGCATAATAAAAAAAAGTTTTTTTTTCTTTGCAATTTGAGCAGTGCACGACCAATGGATCTGGGAAAATGACACCATAATTTTCTTTCAAGCCTCTGACCGTTGTTAAAAGGGGGTCTAACGGTTTGTCTCGTCAAGGTTGGTTCAGGGAAGCAAGTCATCGTACCATTCGTGTCAAGACAAAAGCCACTCTTTTGGTTTCCAGTTTGGGCCATGGGATTCAGGATTTAGAGAAATGAGAGGGTATTCGCGTCTCCAGCTCGGCGCTCGCCCTCCCGCGGTCGAAACGGGAAGCGCTCTAGTGAGGGTCCCTCGATTCTCCTGCTCAGCGGGCATGGCGGAACTGCTCGCGATCATGGCTCGCGAAATGTCGTTTCCAAAAGCAAACTACACTCTTCACTGTCCCAACGAGGTGCTGCAGCCGGTATGGGATTGTACCTTACTGGAGAGTTTTAGTATTGCGCATAGAAGCAAACGCAAGCGGTGTGCGTCTGCGTTAGAGTTGCGTGCCCCACGTTGTGCGTGCGCCTCATCGCCATGCGCCACCCAAGACCGCGATTTCGGGCTCCGCGCACGCGCAGTGTGGAACGCGCAAAGCTAACGCAAACACACAGGGCTTGAGTTCGCTCGTATACGCAATATTAAAACTCACTACTGTTTCACCGGCTTCCAACGCCAACAAAACGTGCTGCAGTGAGCAGACGTGCAAGCAGGTAGGCGTTCCTTCGAACTGGAAAGGCTGAGATTGGCAAAACGACGGCGAGCAAATACAAAAGTAAATAAATGTTATGAAAAAACTAGTAATTAAAAAAAAAGTTTTTTTTTTTTTTTTTTTATCTTTTGGGCATTTGGTTTGGAAGTACATTGGCGGCGACTTTGGACGTTTCGCCGATTGTCAAAAGTCGCGACTTTGATAGCACAATATACTTTACCCACAATTAATGTAATTTTACATGAATTTCTCACATTAACTAGAATATTTTCATTGATTTTAGACTATTTTTATCTTATTTGTAATTAAAATGCAGCAATTAATTGGAACCAGTGATGATAAATAGCACAGTTTTCATTGTCATATTTCTTCGCGCGTTTAAAATTAGATCATAAGCAACAAATTATATTAAAGCTTGAAGAATTACTTATTCAAATATGTGAATTTTAATATTATTATTATTAATACAAATCGCGGCAATGTATGCCTCTAATTAACGCCAAGATCACGAGGATACTCTATTTAACCATTATAGTCTTTCCAGAAAGGTATAATTCTGTTTTCTTTTTAGCATATGAAAAACTCTGACATAGTTATCAAGATAGACAAACAGTTAAACGCTGGATGTAATATAAAGTCCTACGCGTCACGCGGTGCTCTAAAAACACACACACACACACACTTCAGCTGTCTGACTCGGATTCCGTCTTGGGTTGTTGCAGTGAGAGCAGCGTTTATTAGTTTATGCGTTTCGTGGACATATTGTAAAAACTCGAATTATTCTCTTATTCTTGTGCTGGAATAATTGTCATTATTTCCCATGACAATTATCTGAGCCAGAAAAAGGCACTGAGAACGCACAGATATCAGCACTGATTTTTTCAACAACGACGAATATCAGCCTGGATCGAACAGTATGTCACAAAATAAAGTTTCCGCGAACAACTTTTCTAAGTAAATAATTACGATGTGAGACACATCTTGAGTCATGAAAGAATCCGAAATTAAAGCCTCTGTCGAGAAATTAAATCCAAAATAGAGGCAAGTTTCGGTTTCGCTCCAGAATTAAAACGCGCATCCTTCCGTAATTAATGCGCTAAACACCGTTCTTGTTTTCAGGTTAAAGAGGTGACCTGCGCTCATTAAACATTAGCTTCTTCGTATTACCAGAAATAATTTATGTCGCTCAGTGAAGCCAGCACACTAGACAGGCTCAACAGCGGCACACATCTCTGACCCTCACTAAACCCGCCATCTTGGAAAATGAGTGGCGCCACCTATAGTTAGTTGGAGTCGCGAATATTTCTGGGGGTAACAGTGAAAGCTATGGATCATAGAGATTGTATAAAATAGGGAAGAGAGGCAGTTGAAACTTCTCTATTACATCCTTAAAGGGGCGATGCCACAATTTCTGTACTTTGCCCAAATACCGCTTAAAACGGATCCCTGACGCTAATGACCTATAAAACACGCGTTCGTTTTACACCCCACGCCAATAGAAGTTCCAGAAAAAAAATTAAGAAAAACGAGCACCGTTCACCCCCTCAACTCGCAGCCAGAACAAGCGGCCACGTAATCTGGAGCATATTATATATTCGCCAATCTTGATCATAGCCACGCGCTGGGGTTGGCAAAGCACAGGACACGCGCTGAGTTCCAGACATTGTTATGGCTCGGCTATTGTCGTCGTTGCAGCGATTGGACACGGGCCACTACCCAAATGCATGTCGAGGAATCGACTGTCACGAGCCCAAATCGAATGCGTACGCAGTCTTCGCGTCCACTGTGTGAGCAGCATTTGAATAGTGACCGCAAAGCTCGATGACGCATTCCCGGGGATCGTACTGTTGCTATTGTCCCCACAGCTCCGTCATCAAATTTCGCGAAGGAGCAATAGTCGGCTTTTGAAAGAGAGACTGAAAGAAAAGCTCCGCTTTCATCCTCTGAATTCCGCCGCGACGAAGACGCTTCTTGGTCACTGGTGTTGCGTTCGAGTATTCTTGGGTCCCACGAGTGCCAGGAAGCTGGTGTAAAGTAAGAAATATTCCTAACCCATGTCGTTGCACAGCCCCTTTAGCCACTCCACCTCACGCAGCCGCGGGATAGATTGATTTGATGACTACGAGCTTCCTTGCGGCTACCTCCGGCAGTTTATTGATTTTAAGGTATCGACGTTTATCGAAGCCACACTTGTGTGCGACGTTTGTCGTGGGACAAATTAGTGTTGCCAATGACACCAACGCCAAATTCAACTGAAGAAATCTTAATTGATACAAGCGCGTTTTATTTTTTATCTGGTGTACGTTTGCATCCGGTTATTATATAATATTTTAATGGGAAATTCTGCGAAATTAATTTTCAAATTTCGTAGAATTGGGGATTTACTAAAAATAAACTCAAATAAACGCCGAATTTGCGCTAAAAAATCAACTCCGAAAAACAGCCTCCGAGCTTCGCGAAA